ACCGAACCCACATCACAAAACACACAAAAAATATTCTTGGACATAAACCCATAAAAAACCGATTTATGTTACTTTTGGGAGCTAATGCTAGTGGTGATATGAAGCTTATCCTGCTTCTTGTCTATCACTCTGAGAACCCTAGAGCATTCAAAAAAATTCCATAATTAAAGAAAAACTACCAGTGGTTTGGAGATTGAATAAAAGGGCATTGAGTCATGCAGGCTCTTTTCAAAGAATGGCTGTTTGAAGTTTGTGCTCCAAGCACCAAGGATTACCTTCAGACCAATGAATTGCCATTGAAAGAACTGTTGCTATTGGACAATGCACCAAGACACAAAAGACCTTGAAGATAATTTGCTGGAAGATTTTCTCTGGCTGACTGTTCAGATTCTGTCTCTGAATACCACTTCATTGATTCAACCAATGAATCAAGAGGTTTCAAGAAATTGTACATTTCAGCACTGTTTCATTCGTGTTTTGAAGCACGCGAGTTCTCCTCAACTGACAATAAAAAATGTTTTGGGAAGAAAAATTTAATATTCTTGAAGCTATACAGCTCATTCAAAAAGAATGGTCAGAAGTCACTCAACAACAGTTGAATTCTGCTTGGTGAAAGCTGTATCCCTCCTTCATTCAGGGAGACAGGGATGATGTCCTTGAAATTATGGATGAAACTGTGACAACTGCTAGAGATCTGGAATTGGAAGTGAATGAAGATGACATTGAAAAGCTCATAATGGAACCTGAAACAGATCTGATAACAGAAGAACTCAAAGAAACTCAGTGAGATGCATTTTCTTCTGTAAAAGAGGAAGATAAAAGAGGATCAATGTCAACATCTGCTATTAAAAGATCTTTAAAGAATCTGTCCAAACAGAAAAACAACACAACTGATAAAAATGCAAGACTGTGTATATATTATTATTATTATTATTATATATAATTAAACATAGTAAGAAAGTATATAATTTATTTCTTTATTTTTTGGGGTCTCCAGAACAAATTAATCAAATTCCTATAAAAATCTATGGTAAATTGATAATCGGTTAATGAACAATTCGGGTAGCAAACAGTCTTGGAATGGATTATGTTCGTTAACCAATCACCCACTGTACTTAACATATGCTGAAAAAAGTGTGTGTGATTTTGTATTTATGGGAAGGTTTGGTAAATCACATATATTAGAGACTCACTCTAATATATGTAATTTTATTTTATTTCTCAATGAATATGATGTCTGGTCTGTTATGATGGCTTGTTTTCTCTGTGATTATCATATGGTTATACAGGAAATCCTCATTAGTTTGAAATTCAAGAAAGAAAATAATCACGACTTTGAATTATCTGAGCATTTGGCATATTTCTGTACAATATGCCAAATGCCATATAACTGATTTATTAAGCAAATGGAATACGGCTAAGTACACAAAATGCTATTTTCATTAATTAATATTAATAATATAAATAAATTGTACAGGTCCAATGAGATCCTCACAGGTTGCTAGATAGATTTTATAAAAAATAAAGCAGAATTCTCAAAATGCAGTCTAAATAATTTTTAAAATGGTAAATTACCCAAATCTAGTAGCCTAGAGCCCTACAAATATCTCAAGCTGCTACTTGTAGCCCAATCTTAAAATCCCAAAACCCAGCCATATTTTATGAGATAAGAGAGAAAAAAAAGGATATTTCATGGGTATGATGACACCCAAAGATGTGTTACTGTAAAAGTAAAGCCATATTGACAATTAGAGTTGTTCTTGGTCTATTGTTTTATAGTATGGAGGCACTTTCATCTAAACAAATGAGTTAATGTGTGCATATCACAGTTTGGACAGAATTTTCACTTTGAATTTCAAAGCAGCTGTATTTTGAATCATCTGAATTCCTTAACATGTAAATCCCTATTTCCCCAGCTGGGACAAATAGTACAATTATGAACTAAAAAGAAATTACTGTAGTGTATTTTGTGTGTGTTGTTTTCTAAAGTCTCTGAAGTATTTATAATGTAGTTGTTGAGTGTAAAGATTGTGTTTGTGTACAAGCTTTTCATATATTGTTTGTTACTTGGTTATTTCAATGTTAAATACAGATAGCCCTCAGTATACGCCGGCTCAATTTACACTGATTCACAATAATGCTGCTATGCAATTTGTCATTTCGCGATGTAATTCCCCTATTTTCCCTATGCCAGACTGATTTTCATTTCAGTGTTGATGTATTTACCAAGCCGCGACATTGTACATTCATTAAAACAAAGATTTTTATTGAATATATTTAGTTTTTCTGTTTAATATTATTGGGTATGTATACATTTGCATTAAATTAATATTAAAACACTAAATGTTTAGGTACCCACGAGTCAAGTTATTAAACTTAATAGTCCAATAAATGGTGTCCGAACCTTAGCACCAATGAATGTATCCCGTATCAGTTTGTTCAGGAAAACACCTTAAATGCAGTAGCACTTCCAGCGATCACAAACTATCGTTAGTGAGACAAATCTACTTCTCGTTGGCCAGACAATATCTACTTCTTGTCAGTCAGGCGATATCTATCTCTCCTTAGCCACCTTCAATTTTCCCACTCAAACTGACCTTATACGTGCGCTGTAGCAGATGAACTTTGTGAGTTAGACAATGATTGGGAACGAAGTACAAATGTAAAAAGAAGCATCATCGCATCCATTCGACCATATTCCAAAATTATCAATGAAAGAAAACAAAAATGTAAGCAATTAAAGGTGGATACTTTTTTCCAAAAAATGTAAGAGATCCGAAAGTAAAATTTTTCAATAAAAACATTTCACTTTATTTTATGATAAAATACATTTTAAAAATTAAAAATTTATATGTATTTTGTATTATATTGTATTAATAAACAAAATTATTTGCTTATTTTTTACATATGTAGAACCTAACCCTATATCTCACTGTAAATATGGGTTCGTTTTATGGTGATTCGATTTGCATCAGCTTTTGTAGGAACAGAACTGCAGCGTAAACCAAGGGCTACCTGTAGTCAGAATGTGTTAAAAGCTAACTTGATGTGATGTGTTGCGATGTACACTTTCATGTATGATGTGACTTTTCCTACAGATGCCATCTAGAAGTGTTTTTTTTTTTTTTTTAAATGTACTTCATGCAGTTTTTAATATTTTTGACCCAGTCTTGTTTGGTGATCATGAAAACTTCTGTCCAAAGAAATAGCCACAAGCCATCCATTAGTTTGGCACAGTTTTATCAATGTGATCTTGGCCAAGAACATTAGGATGCTTACCATGGAGTTCCTTCTGGATCCAGAACTGCCTGATGCTGTCTGTCTCTTGTGTACTATGTTAGATCTAGGTCAATGTTGTGTAGGTTTAATGGTATATTGTTTTTGTCTTCCAGTGTTACTGCTTTGTCTAATTGTGATGTTTCTTGATTTTTGTAGAAAACCTTGCAGTGCCTGTATTTGTTTGTAGTGAAGATTTACAATAACTATGAGGTCTTGTCTTCTCTTTACAAGGAAGAGTCAGCCTTTCTATGGATGACTTAGGACAGTGTTTGTTGTTTTGTTAACATTATTTGTTTTTCTTTGGAGTTGTTTAAGTTGTACGTGTGTCCAATGAATAATTCCAAATGAATATGTGAATAGGAAATGATATATGTTGCTTACTTTAATGTATCTTGCATTCAGCTGTGTTGTTAGTATTGAGTTTAATCTGTTGTATTCTTTTGTTAGTCTCTGTTTTGTTTATCTATATTGTTTAGGGTCTCTAGTGTTGTCATTTTTGAATTTCATAGATGCCCTGAAATTTTGGCATATCTTGTGAATTATTGATTGTGTGTTTAAAATGTTTGGCTAGTTCCTGAGGCAGAGATAAAAATTTTTTCTCTCAGAAATTGTGAATGTTGTCTGCACTGTCTTCCAACTGTGTGTTCACACTGAATTTTGAATGGCATGTATATTTACTTTGACACAGGGCATGATTGATGTAGTTTGCATATTTTCTTCTGCCTCCTTAATCCAGCTTGCTTCATCTTTGTATATAACTGAACTGAACTAAAGAGCAAACCAAACCATGCTGTAAATGTATAACAACCATTTTTGTTTTCTCCATAGAAGTGGATGTGCTTATAAACCTAAACCCAGGTGTTTATAATTAGCTGACCAATGTGAGAAACAGATACTGTTTAGCAGCCACATACTCCGAATCAGATGTTGCTTGTGAGTCACTCTTTGATTCATTTCTCCCCATACACCTTACTGACATGGGTGTTTGTACTGAAAGCTTATGTCCCACCAGCTTATCTTTATAATTCATTTAACTACTGAGCTCTGTCATCTCAATATGAAGATGACTAATTATTTTTATAATAGTACAGCTGTCCCTTGATAGTCTGAAGTTTTGTAATCCGACATTCTCAGTAGTCCGACGCACCTCCCGTCAAGGTACTCGTCCCTGTTATGTGTCTTCTTGCACAGAAGCATGTCACAATGTGAATCTCCCCATCCAATTCTTACACGATGACACACATTTCATGTGTTTTCCATGAGCAGTTCTGTTCGAACAGTTGGAGTAGGGAATATTGTAGGCTACTGCTAACAAAACAATGCCAAATATGTAATCACTTTTGGTAATCCGACACCCCTTTGGTCCCATACCTGTCGGATTATCAAGGGACATTTGTAATTCTATTGCTAATGTGTAATTATAACACTTGTGTTGGCATGGTATATAACACATTCATAAATTACAAATACAATTGTTAAGTCAAATCTTTACAGAACAAAAATTTTACATATCCAAATCTCTTAAAGTGTAATACCATTAAATTTCTATGTATTAACATGTAATTTTGTAACAAAACACTATAAACATAGAGTACAGTACATACATATATTGTAAATGTTTAAAGATTAATTAATAAACTATATTTTTAAGCATGCTAACACTTAATTAGTTAAATGAAAATGTAATTTTATTTATAATACAAATTTTTGTGCATGATTACCTGCTAGATACACTTCCTTTTGCAGAAGCACTATCAGTTGTTACAGTTTTAGCAGCTTTAATAGAACTACCTATTGATCCTACAGTTGTTGGAGTGCCAAGTATAGAAGTATTTGAATTCTGCATTTGTGTAGTGGAAGTATTAATGTTACTTGATACTATATGAGTTTCAGGATCATATCCAGTAGCCAGTTTCAAATCATATTTTCCTTCTGCTCCCATACGATATGAATTTGAGCCACCATGATCCCATGTTACATCTATCCAGCCTGTAAAATATTTTAAAATTAAAATTTAATTTTAAAATAGCTCGCTTTGTTTAAATAAATAATTTATAAATTTAATTTAATAATTAAAATTTCAATAAACATATAAAATTTATTCATTTCAATAATGATAATTTTAATTCTATTTTATTGGAAAACAAAAACAAACAAACAGAAATAATAAAACCTCACAAAACGAAATCATAGGTATTAATAATTCACATTAATCTTAAGATTACAAAAACTTTGCTAATTTATACTTTAATAAAAAGAAGAAAACTAAAATTTTTTAATCATACAAATTCCATTTTGTGTGATTAAATAATTACTGTGATATACTACTTTAATGAACTTGAAAGTTTCTAATTATTATATAAGTCAAAATTAGTAAAATCAATCAATAAACATTGTGATATTTACAAAGTTTTTTTATGATTTATATTGTGAATGCTATGAAATTTTAATGTGAAACACAACTTACATTTGAATCTGTTATAAGTTATTCAAAATTGTAAATCTGTTTATCTTTTAAGCATTCAATCTAAAAATAAGATGCAAAATATCTCAAAAAGCATTTAATCAAAATAAATTCATTTGACTTCTTAAATTATTTTGTTTGTTTGTACAAAATTTATATTTCACAATTAAAAAACAGTAATTAATTAAATATATATATATATCTGTACGCTATACTCTATCATTATTGAAAGATAAATGACAAAAGCTACGTAAAAAAGCCCAATAATAAAATTCAAGTGCACTTTTCATGCATGATATATACAAATGTAATGTGGAATGAGTGTCCATGATATAGCATCTAATAAATTTTAATATGAGATTGATATAACATTAATTAATGTCACTATATCTATACTATTTGTGATTTTTAAATATCACAGTCTATTTTAGAGTCATATAATCATTATTTAATGTAAATTAGATTTTTATTCTGATTCTAGTTAACATGTGTAATAAAAAATATGATACAATTTTACATAATTTTAAAGATATTAAAAATTTTGAAAAATATCTATAAGTAAAAGAAAATGTAACAATATAATGAATAAACTATTCCAAAGTAAAGTGAATTCAATGTTATTCAGAGACAAGAGAATTATAAATATGAAATTTTACATTATAGTAAATATAAAGTTTTTGGAAATGAAGAGATAGCATGCAAAATCTGCCAGTACATATATTGTACAGTCAACCCCCCTATAATTACGGTCCCTATAATTACGATTCCTATAAAACTACGAAAAAATATACGTATTTTGGAAATGTTGAGTCGGATTAGTGTAGAATCGATTAATTTTATGGAAGAAAACCTTTCAATCAGCCGTAGTCCATAAACTTGACACGTGTCGGGCTGTGATTGGAACGACTTGTAAGAAATCGGATTCCTAATAAATTGGAACGTATCTATATCTTATAGGGGGGGTCGACTGTAATTAAAAATTAACGTATACAAATACTATAATAAATTATTTAGTACAATATTTATATTTAATGTTAATTTTTAATTACAATATATTAATATGTACTGGCAGATCTTGACTTTCAAATATACAAATTTCATACAACTCATTCTTTCATAGATGTTACTTTTATGCATATATTTTTTCATATGCTAAATTTTTCTTTTGTAACGTACATTTTCAGCTGACAGAACAAGACTTCAAGCATCATCCAATGGTACTTTCTGCCAGTTTTTGTTTCAGTAACAACAATATCATTTGTAAAAGTTAATTGTCTGTTTTCTGTTTAATATACTGTTTTAATGTTTTATGCATTATAACAGGAAAATTTTACTTTTTTAATGATATTTTAAATGATTTTATGATTATGATTTTAGCTCTCTGAAAATGAAACTCCATTAACATACAATTGTATTGTTCAACTTTTGTAACTTTTTAATGTATGTATCATGTCCAAAAGTTGGAAATGTCTGTATTTTTTGATCAACAAGGAAGTTTTGTAAACAGTTCAAAACTTTAAATTTATAATTAAAAAAAACAAGAATAATCAATATTTTAAAATTTATTAATTTTTTTTACAATGCACTAGATATGTCTGATTTATGCAATCGTAAATTAAAAATCCAACAATGAGTTGCTTAACTAAACCAGCAACACTTAAAACTGTCTGTAATGCAATCTGTTACAAAAAGTTTTTAAAATAAAATAACCTATTTTTAACTATTATAAAATGGCAAAAAGCTTAATTTTGAGAATAGGGATTAGTTTTCATTAAAAATTGTAAATGCTAATGATGAGTAAAATAGTCATTAAGTCCGACCCTACTTGAGATACACAAGGACACCCTCTATCTCTCCATCCCCTCAACCTTTTATCACCCAAATTTAATAGTATCAATTCAATCCCCAATACACAAACCTCCCTGCAAAATTTCAGAAATTTTTGACAAAAAGAACAGAAGTTATTAAGCTTCAAACAGAGCAAATAAAATTGTCCCCCCCACACTAACATACATACAAAAAAATAAATGCTTGCTTTTTTTTGCATTTCTTGATGTTTCAAGTCCCCAAGTTCAAAAATGTAAAAGTCTTGGGGGGATCATTTTTTGATTGACTGCCATACTTTCCCTCTGTTATATATACAGAACTAGAAAAGTAAAAATGAATATAGCATAATATTTACATACCAAATGGGTTTCCATTAATAGCAACTGTATTTATAAAGCTGATTAACAAATATGAAAGTCAATTAGGCACATGTAAATGATGTATAAAGTCATTAGTGTTAACAATGATGCATATTACCAATACAATCTTTCCAGAATTTATACAACAGCATGTTTGATCTGTTTTCAAAGATAAAATTATTGATAACAATAACAAGTTGGTGTTAAGAAATTTGCAAAAGAACATTTAAATCTAGAAGCAAACAAAACTATCAGTATATACTATCTAGAGATTACAAATAAACCTCACTTAATATTTTTATGCAAAAATTCTTCATCCAAATATTCAAATTATTTCAATCCACAAATATTACTTCGTACCATGATAAGAAAATCTTACAAAATAACTCTAAAGCATTGAAAAGTATAAATTATTTTCAATGGACTAGTAAAAAAAAACTTTTTTATGCTTTTAAGCTCTAATATTCATCTCCAGAAATTCATATGAAAATTCTAAGGTCATGGAAGCAAAATAAATAAAACATCTCTAAGAAGACATTGACATCAATGTTAAATTATATTACCATTTAAAAATTGGAATCACAAAAATTAATACAGTAGAGCGTCGGTTATCCGAATCAATTGGGGACTGGTGTTGTTCGGATAACCAATTATGTACGAAAAAATATATAAATTTATCCCATGTTGAAATTTTTCTCCGTTGTGTGTCACTTTGCGTTGAATTTTTGTCAATGTTAAGCCTAACGAAGACTATTGTATCGTTAAAAATTATATTTTTATTTTGTACAAACAAAATAAATATATTGAAAAATATAAAAACAATAAAAAATTATACTTCAGAAGTTAATTTAGTATCAAAAACGTAAAATNTTGGGAAATATTATGTAAATTTATTAGTTTCAATTGCTTCAAATTTAATTAGAGATAGTTATTGACTATAGAAAGTAAGTATGAATAGAAACAGTAAAATTATTTTAATTCTTGATTTTCATCTGATGACACCAATCAATGATGCACATCAAATTTATAATGCATGCAACTGTGATATACATCTCATTGGTAATGCATATCACTGACAAATCTTCCATTTTCTTATTAAAAATTTGTTTTACTTCTAGTTATAAACATAATATTGAATTTTTTACACATTATTTCCAATCTAAACACTATTATTATTATTATTATTATTATTATTTGGTAACAAATTTGCAGCTTAAATTTGGTATTTTATAATCCAGTATGTTATGAAACATTATTGTGCCATGAACTTTCTTATAGGATGCAATTCCTGTGAGAAATTTAAAAAAAACTAATGTTTTGTCTTTTTAATTATTATTTGTATATTGTTTTTAATAAAAAAATAATACTACCTAAGTCACTAAGCAGCTATCGTAGAGATTCAACTGGGAAACTTTAGACAATCCAACTCATAGTCCTGGCATTACTCCAACCAATTTCTGTCTGTTTTTGTATTTAAAGAACCATCTAGCTCAGTGGTTCCCAATTAGTTTTTCCTGCATACCACTTCAAGAAAGAGCTCAAACTCGCATACCCCTTATAGCAGAAATTCAAAATTTCAAAATTCAAAAATACAATTAAACAATTTTATTCATTCAACTCAAATAATATCTTTGATGGCCAACATTTTTTCACAGATTGCAAATTTAAAACACTGACAATTTCAAACTTTAAGGCAATCTGCAACTAACAAACTATAGATAAATATTTTTCTTACATAAGTTTATCAAACAATTAATTTCTTCACATTGATATATAATATTTTTCTCAAAGAATGAATGAACCAAAGAGTTAAACTTTCTAAATTAGAATAACAATTCAAAATGTTCTCGGATTGAATATGGGGAAATTGCATTCTATTTTCCTATGCAGACATTGTTTCAGTGTTCTACTGGTATTTCTTTTATAACATCTTACTTTATCAATCCAATTCTTTAACATAATATAGTAATCCATGCCCTATCAAGATGTCCTTAACAATCATTTCTCTTTCTCAAGAACTGAAGATAATAGTAACAAGAAAACTGACTATCTTATCACCACCTGATCAAAACATAGCATCTAAATGCAATGTTTTCATCAGGTGGTAGGTATTATGCAGTGTTAGGAAACTTTTGAAATTTTAACTTATTGGTAATCCATATCATGTTCAAGTGTTCCATTGACTAACTGAAAGTAACTATCAACAAAGGATTGATAATAATCAATCCTTTGTGGTTAGTCAGTGATTCAAAAACTTTAATAATATACCAGTTTCTGACAAGATTTTCTTTTTCATAAAACTTAGTTTCATTTGAGTTGATAAGTAGATTCTTTTGAAG